CTAGTCATCCAAGGCTAATTAGTGAATCCGTTCTTGTATCAGTATGATTGTTGATGTTTGCTATGAAACGGCTGCCAAAGAGAACAGGGGAAGGAGTTTATACAGGAAAAATGACCATGTCTTGAAAAGAGTATATTTTATAAATCAATGCCACACCATGTACTATGAGGGCGATGTTCACGATAAACATTTCACATAAAATCGTCAAACTCAGAATAGCACATTAAAATCATTCTACACTTTTAATTTTTTTGCTTATCACAAAAAGTGTGTGGGATGATTCCACGGCCCATCATCCCACCACCAAAGATGGGGAGATACATACACTACCCCCTCAGGATTTGTGTAAATGAGAAAAATGAATTATTGGCAACAGTACTTTCCAACATTACTATGGTCTAAGGCCCGCCCCCAGGAAATGCTGTGTCAATACTATGGAGGTGACTTTACAACATTCTGTGTTGACCGGTCACTGCTGCTATACCAGTTTCACTTTGTTAACCTATCAACTATGGCGATTACCTGAGCGCAAATAACGTGGGCTACTGCCCTTGGCAGCCTGCAACCACCCCCCCCCCAGCTCTCGGTTTTTTATGACAAAAACCGCAAAACCCATTATAAAGAGTAAGTTAGGGCAGGATTAAGGTACCAACTTTTACGACAGTGTGCTGGTAATGACACTGGTATTCACAATTATAACACCAGGTCTTCAACTAAGCTTCATCTTGATTAAGTCAGAACATCTATTCGCCTTTCCGCTGTCAGATCCTAGGGACCCCTTCTCTGGAACCAAATCAAATCTTTTTTTTTTGTAGAAGGCATCATAGGAAACTTTTATTAAATGCGGTGGACAATTGACAGTATGATTTCTTCTAAACAATGCCAAAGTTGTATTTATACATATTTTTAAACCTGTAATTAGGATTTTGTGTCGTTGTTGTACACAACTATTTACTAACTTGAACAAATGAAGATCTTCACACATTATTCTGTATTAATATTAATTTTGACAGTTTTTCTCTCAAGAATTGTAAATTTACATGTACTATTTTTGCAGGGGACACACCCCGTAAAAGCTTAGGCTTTTTGTCTGACCTCCCTCCATACTATTTAATTTAGTTTCATTACCTTATATTATTTAAATTGTGCATAGTATGGGAAATAAATAAACCAAACCAAAATAGCATCAGTTTAACCGTACCTGGCCCATCCCCTTTAAGCCTGCAGGTGTAGGATACTTGAAGAATGATTTCGTCATGAAATCGTAAATTCGTAAACAAACAAAATCCCCATGCACTATGTGAGCAAAATAGCACGAACGAATGTTTCGAAACTTGGTGTTTTTTTTTAGTAAAGTTAAGCTTGATGACAAGTCGTTACCTAGCCATGTTTTTAAGTCGTGTTCCCTGGTCAAGCAACGTTGTGTGAACAAAAAGTTGCCGTGGCTGGGGTCCAACAGTTCGCCTCTTTGGGCATTTATTTCAGTTTCATTTCTGATAATATTCCTCGCCCATCACCATTATTTTAAGTGGATACGTTGTACCGTTTCATAGTCAGGAAGAATGGAAACAAGAGAGACAAGAACCAAAGAATGGGTATGAGGGCAAAGGGTGACTGGGAGTAGTATGACAGAAGGGTGTAAACCTTCATGTTTGCAGGGGGATCAACAGAGGGTGGGGGTCTTTCTGAATGCGGCCCAATGAGGTGGGGCCATTCCTTGCAACAGTTAAAAAGGTTCGTTGGAGTGGCAAGGATATGCTGTTACTTTAGGGGAAATGCGGCATTTTTTAGACTTTATGTTACGGAACTAATCCGGGTCTCCACCCTCCTGTGAAAATGAAGGTCAAGAGCTCTACTTTTAAACACCTATTGGGTTAAGTTCAATCACCTAGGTAGAATAAACGGCATAAACTACAGTGTAGAGAATAAGCTTAAGTCGTTAAACTACTTCATTCAATGACGTTACTGTAGGCAGAGGTTTCTGAAAAGGTTTCCAGGTAGGCATACATTTTGTTTTTCAACGGGACACTGAAAGCAATCTAATTTTGGCTTGAACATGGGCCGCCACATTTCAAAATTTCAAATGGGGGGGGAGCCAAAACCGATGTTGGGGGAACATGTTCCCCAAGCCAACCTCCAGTTACGCCACTGATTTCATCAGATACATGTCTGTGTATACTTGCAGCAGTATTTACAAGAGAACTTGAAAGGTTAAAACAAAATCTAAATGTTAACAACTAACAGTTTATGACTCGGTTTCACGAGAATTTTGCTGGGAATTCCTTGCAGAAGAGGATATGGCTAAAAACAATGAGAGAGTAAATTGGCATTTACTTTTTTTGAATACAAATCATATATTATTTTTAAGGGCAATTTTGTCTCTTTGTACTAGCATGTAAAACATGAGTGTGACTGTGAATGCTTGTTTTAAATATACTTTGTTTTCTTAATAATTTTGAGCAGCATTTGTTTAAAGTTTCTTTTGAAGAATCATGTGCATTGACATAATGTAACGTGTATAACCCTTTGCGTGAGTTACCAGAGCATGTCTTGAAAAATGCATCGGTGTTTATTTTTTTACCGGTGATCATGATAGCTTGTGATTACACCCTAATGTCTTAAGAGAATGGCAAAGATTATGCTAATATTGCACTATGTGAAGAGACTCTAAAATCACAGATACTTCAGTAATTTGTCACGCCCTTCTTCGGAACCGAGTAACCGATATGAAACCTATTACCAATCATATACACAGTTTTTTTACAGTTACTGTGTTTTAAAAGATACTCTCTAAAATGTACCATTACTTCCCAGAGATATGCAAAAAAAGAGACCATTAAATATAACATGAGGTACACAGCATACTTTGGAACTGCACTTTCTGCAAAGAATTTGAAAAATTTCAATCCAAAATGATCAACAACTCGTTATAAAATGTATTCGACAAACTACAGCTAATCTAGCGACTATTACAGGTTGTGGCATTCTTCTCTTGTTATGACTCCATTAATTTGCTTTAAGCAACCAATTTCTCTTTCAACAAATTCTCCAGTTTGATTGTGTCTGCGGCAAACTTCCGGATTCCATCTGAGAGCTTCTCCACGGCCATGGGATTTTCGTTGAAGAGCCAACGGAACTGCTGCTCCGAGAGGGACAGTTTTTCCACTGGTGATGCATGAGCTGGTGGAATATACCAGGAAACACAATTCAAATTTCATACTTGTTCTAACTGCTATAACTAATGGACATTTTGCCAGTATTTCTGACTTCATATGTTAGAACTCTTTTAAAGTCTGTCGAGCGAAAAAACAGCTTTGAATTCTTAAGGGTATATATAAAAAAGTATAAAATTTTAACAACAAAAAAGGGCTGCAAAAAAAAAAATCCCTGAGCGGCAAACAGAAACAAACACAACGACATCGACGACGACAACAACAGCCATAGCCGTATTCAAATGGACCACATGCAGGTTTACACCAAAATTAAAAGAGACTTGATGGCTTAAAAGTTACTCAAAAAGCGTGCCAAACGACAGTTGCAGAGTTACATAAAGAGAGGAAAGATCCTTTGTTGTGTAATTTAATCTTCTAGGTGGAGAAGTTATTTCCTTACCTAGTTGCACTGACATCTTGCGAGTAAGAGGAGCATTAGTTGCTTTCAGTTCTTCAAGCAGACTTGGACTGTGGAGAAACAAAGCCATGGGAGGCATTTATAATTATTTCATTTTACCAACTGATGACCACAAATACGCCAGAAAATTGGGTTTGCCACAATCTGACACCATTCAATTTTAGTAAAAGCAAAAAAAATAGATAATAAAATTAAAACAGAGAACAGAACTAAACCCCTACTACGATTTTCTTCTTGAAAAAATACCTAAAATGCTAAGACCTTCACCTGATAGTGAAGAGGTCCAAGCCAGCCAGCTCTTGAATGTCGCCTATTCGGCGGATGGAGGTTCCCATAACAACCGTCGGGTATCCAAACTTCTTGTAGTAGTTGTAAATCTTCTTAACACTCGACACACCTTCGAAAAAAGTCGTGTCTTTGAATTAGTTTTTGAGAGTAAACTGACAGGTTTAACAATAAATTCATACCGCCTTTCTGCGTTATGTTATTGGACATTGTATGTTGTTTTGAAATAGGCATTTGTAGTCTATGCACAACGCACTCACACAAACAAACCGAGACAATGCACTCCTTGATGAGGCAGAATCAAAACAAGGTTTACTGATCGAAAGCGACGCTACTGAAACATCCGGCCGAGTGGAATATTCAAACACGGGTCGTCTGTCAAAATAATTACCCCTTTCACACAGCATATATTGTAGTTATACCTACCTGGATCCTCTTTGGGCTCATAATCAGCCTTGCATGCGTTGGCTTTGTACCAGTCTCTGATACGACCCACAAACGGCGAGATTAGAGTCACGTTGGCTTCTGCACAAGCGACAGCCTACAGCAAAGTAAATGGCGCGAAGCATTAAACAAGGCATTTTGAGTGCCTTTGTAGGAAGGAAATTAAAGATTATAGGCACCATCAAGCAAAGAGTGATCTCTTTACAAACCATGCACGTTGCCAGTTGATAGCTTAAATAATTTTATAAAAATCTTTATGATCTTTTTGCCGTGCTTTTGTAGATGTTAAATATTAAGATGTATTTTGTCTCTGTAATGTTACAGGTTTTTTCTGTCTATGTCACATGTGATTGATGACATTTTGTAAGACCTCGTTTGCAATGATCAAGTTCGCGTTTTTACTTAGTGAGAGTACCCTTCGATTCCTTTCAGAGCCAGACATGCTCACCAGAGAGATGTATTTTTGCAAAGTGTTATCGCAAACCCTTTATGTAACTTGCCACATTCACCACGAAAGCTTAAAAGGTCATTCGCATAATTATTTTTGGTAATCCGTCAGGGATATTATCTGTATTGTCTTTCCTTGCATGTATTTTGTCAATACCCATTGTTTGTTTTTAACCCACATGTACATGTGATATTCTAACATTTGTTGCCTACTTGGGAAATAAAAGAAATGAAAAGGTATATTTAGACCTGACAATAGTTAGTTGTACCAATTTTGGGACACAAGACTGTACATAAAAGTGCACGTGAGCAGCGCTTTGACTCTTTGAACGGGTAATTTTACCTGAACGAAGGAGAAGAGGAGGGTAAGGTTACAGTGGATACCATCCTCCGCCTCTAGATGCCTACGGTAGTCAAGAAAACAAAAATGTGGTCAATAAATCTTTGGCATATATAAGTGCCAAGGAGTGAATTGTATGTGTCCGAAGGGGGAGTGTCAGTTATAATAAATTATACGCATGCGTCACTTGTTCGAACTGAAATAAACTTTAACCATTATGATTTTGTACAAACACAAAGATCCCAGCAAAATGTTGGTGGTAGCAAGTCAATCTTTCCAAGTCTAAGCCGAGTCACAATTTTGGTCCAGTCACAAGTAAAGTCATAAGTCATTTCATCACAGGTCATGTCAAGTCACTAGTCAGTTTGGTCAAAATACAAGAAAGGCACAAGTGTTTTTGTCCAGGTACAAGTCAAGACGCGCGATGTGTGATTTCAAGCCACAGCCAAGTGATTCAGATGTGGCCTTGGACAGATAAGACTGAATTTGAAGTCGTGAGCCGAACAAAGTCTTACGCTGATTACGCAAGGTGAAAGTTAATAGGCCTGATTTAAAACGTTAATGGGTTCGATTGAGTAGTTTTCTGACTTGTGTCAAGACATAATATGTAAGTGTAAGTCCAAGTCAAGTCACAGGTCTTTTTGCAAGTCCAAGTCAAGTCACGAGTCACAAAAATAGCGATTCGGGTCCAACTCGAGTCCAAGTCAACTGACTTAAGTCTACAGAGTGCTGAAACACACTGACAACACAAACATTAAAAAGACATATAGGCCTAGCATTTGTTCAGAAAATCGCAAGACATAGGAGATCAAAGGAAACAACCACCTACTTATTAACCTCTGGTAAAAAAATGAAGAATGATTTCCAATGAAATAGATTCACTCAAGTTTTGTACAAAATTGTCCATTGTGCACTGCAGACAGTTAACTTGTCTTTTCCCTCTCGAGTCAAGTATGATTCGATGTGGGGAAAAATTCAGACTTTCTGGAATTCAATCTCGATGGTTGTATTGCGCATTCAAGGTTATTGCAATGGACAAAATTTGAAGAGGGCAAAGATATGTGCTGAAAACATCGGTCATAGAGAACATGCATATTCCACAAAAAGTGAACAGGGAACAGGCTGGTGGCAGTCCAAATGACAATGTGATACTGGCCTCAAGATTATACATTTCTGTTATACCTTGCAGCTTGAATACCCTCCCACGTCGAGCTGAGCTTGATGAGAACTCTCTCCTTCTTAATACCCTGCTCCTCATACAGTGCAATCAGCCTCTTAGCCGTGGCAATCTGAGCCTCCGTGTCAAACGACAGCCTGAAGAAAATCGCATGGAACAAGTGCACATCTTCAAATTATACTGTCTAGCGCAGGCGCAAAGGGGCACATTTTATTTGTACAATTAGCGATTCAAATTCGACATGGAAAATCAACAAAAAGGGCAAATTGCTGATTATGGTTGAAAAAGATCTCTGCTAAAGGTGGCAAAACAACAATTACAGCTTGCACGACGACAATCTTTTTCGGAAATGAACATGTTTGTGCGCACGCCAAGATCAAATCGAATTTACGTTAATAATTACCACGTTAACACCTTAAATTGTCAGCACATACATGGACATTATTAAAATCTCTGTAAAGTGATTTACTATCTGCAGAAAAAAATAAGGGAGTTTCAGACAGAACAACCAGGCAAACTCACCGAGCATCGACCTCTGTGGACACCCTTCCTGGGACAATCTTCAAGATTTCCACACCAAAATTGACGAAGAGTTTCTCCATTGTTGCCGTGATCTTTTCCTCGAGAGAGCTGTTAACAATATGAAATAACACATTGTAGGTAATCCTCTCGCATTACACGGATTCATTGTGTAGTGTGGCAAAAACTAATCTCTCCAAGGAAAGTAAAGAATATTTTTTGTGAATATTCATAATGGACGAAACATCACAAGCGATATTTGTTAAGTTTAAAAGCTGTTGTACACTGATACATCGAGTGCCCCAAAATAAATCGACCAAATCAGACTAGCTTTTATTCCCTCTTCAGGGGTGAAATTTTGTCAGAAATGTCCAAGAGGTACTTTTCTGATTGTTTATGAAAAAATTAAGATCCAAGTTAGAATGCTAAATAACAATTTCTTGATTTTTATTCAGATTAAAGAATTTATGTCCATAAATATGGATAATATCTTTGTTCAAGGATGGCCATTAAGTCCAGTCTAAGGTCTCTTAGATAGGAATAGCATAACACAGAGTATGTCGGCCGATTTCCGCTGGTTTGTTCTTTGATTCTTTCGGACGAGGCAGAGTCAGCTTGATATCATAATTATAATCATTTGCATGAATTGCCTTGCACTGTTCTTGCCATAGGCGACAGCGTCGTCGACCAGGCCACGGTATTTGTCGATCTGAGCAGCCGCCAAGATGAGAGATGGATTTGTGGTGGCATCTACCGGCTTGTACTGGTCGATGACTAAAGTAAAAACAGATATTTCAAAATGATATGTCTGTTACATTCGTTTGACCAATGTAGCTTATGTAGCAACAAAATTACCGGGATACCACTTTGTATAAAAAGTGGCATTGAAGTTTGGTAAACATTACATTTAAGCCTATTCCTGACAAGGAATCGAGTCATATTTACGTAACAGGGAGAAACTGTTTGCCGACTTGAATTTACACAGGTGTCCATTCTTAAAGGTCTTTTGGGGGAGCCACTTGTTGGAAAATCCACTGCGGATACTGCTCAACGTCTTTCGGTCCAACTTGACTAATACATGCACATCTTTGAACTTTGTTGTTCATTGCCCTTTCTTGTATGGTGTACTATTTACGACACATATTTCTCTCTCTCTCGCTCTCGCCTTCCTCCAGGCGACGCAACGACACGACGCGACGGCACGACGCAACGTTACGACGCGACGACGTAATACATTATACACAGCATAAAAGTAATGAGAACGGAGGCGACAGAGCGGCGCACATTTGGCAGCAAGAGAACACCATAAGAAGGCGACGATGCGACCCAACGGCACGACGCAAGGGGGCCCCTGTGCCGTCGCTTCGTGTAGTTGCGTTGCCTGGAAGGAGGCTAGAGAGAGAGGAATGTGTGTCATAAATAGTACACCGTATCCTTGCCCATAAAGGTTAATTGAACAGGGAAGTATTACAGCCCAACTTTGAAACACTGTTAAATTACCGTTTTTGACATGATGTCAGTTTGCCCACAGTGCCATTCAAAACCAAACATGAACAGTGCTCACATGGACTGAGAGTGAGGTCAGCAGTACACGCCTACAGTGCCCCCCCCGCGGGAATTTAACTAGTCATGACTCAACACGTTCTTTTGCGATACGGACTGAAATTAGCCGCTGCCAGCTCCCTATTCAGTTTGCAAGCACAGATCATACGCAAAGCTCCAGCTCTCTGCACAGACGGTCCACACCCAGGGGAGCGCATGTGGCAGGCGCTGCATACATTGTCTGATGACCTGACTTATTGCACACATATGAAGCGAACTACGGGACAGAGAGAACCCCCCCGCGCCTTTGTGTTGGCCATTGTTATACTGGTACCTCAGGAATTCTTTTCAGGCATCTAGGGGGGATGTGTTAAGTGACAATAGGCTGGAGTGTGTGTAGGGATTGGACTTGTTAGGGGGGTACCCCTCTGTCCCATTACGCGCCTGGTATAACTGCACAAACCTGACTTACCCACGAACCGTTGTCATGATAGAAAGCACTTCAGGTACAGTCCTCTATAGAGGTTCTGTATGGCAGCCATACATCTTTCCAGTAACTGCTTTTGTCGAGGGGGAATAGTACAAAAGGTCTACTCATGTGTATCCCTGTGAGAAAAAGGCTCAGAAAAATGGCTGCCATGCAGAACTTCTATTGGTGGTTCGTATGCATGCGCGCTGTACAAACACACCCAAACAACACCGTCGTGCACCAAGCTAGAATGTAACGATGGTTAGATTTCCCGAGGCCAAAGCATATTCCCTTTCTTGTCACTCACAGAAACGACGGGGGTGTAGACGTGCATTAGTGACCGAGCACGTCCATGTTTTACAACATACCCTAGCTGTCTGAGATGTAAAATAACAAAAGGAAACCTTTCGGGGTTTTATGACTGAATTGTTTTAATTCAAAATCCCAGTATTAACAACACGTTTTTCAAAAGGCAACTCAATAATTAAAGGTCTGGACTAATGCTTTTGTGATCGGTCCAATTTGCTTCCATTGTAATGACCAATCACAGCTCAGCTTTCATTTGGATGGGGTTAGGAAAGAAAAGGAAAACACAGGAGTTATGTTGTAAAAGAGCTTTTTCTGCAAAATTAGGCGGGTGGCGTACACGAACAGTAGGTCTAGACCACATGAAAGAAATCCACGAGTTCTCATTACATACTCCCACTTCTACAGTTTGCAAAAGACGTCACTCAAGACGTAGGCCTACATATCAAATGTGGAATTAAATACAAGGATTACAACAGAAATCTTTCAATACAATTTCTGACCTGTTTTTGCCCACGCTCAAGTAATACTTTTTCGTTCGGAAAAGTCCACTTGACAAATATTCATGTGCATGGTTTGCGCCTAATGCACGAGGAGGAATAGTACAAAATGTTTACTCATGTGTATCTCTGTGGGAGAAAAAACTCGGAAAACGGCTACCATGTAGAACCTCTATTGATGGTTTGTATGCATGCGCGCTGTACAAACACACCAACGTCACCGTCGTGCACCGAACTAGAATGTAACGATGGTTAGATTTCCCAAGGCCAAAGCATATTCCCTTTCTTGTCAAACACAGACACGACAGGGGTGTGGACGTGCATTAGTGACCGAGCAAGTCCATGTTTACAACATACCCTAGCTGTCAGAAATGTGAAATAAGAAAAAGAAACCTTTCTGACCAAAATGTTTTTATTCAACATGCCAGTAATATCACGTTTTTCAAGAAGCAACTCAATAATTAAAGGATAATGCTTTTGTGATCGATCCAATTTGCTTCCATTCCTATGACCAGTCACAGCTCAGCTTTCATTTGGATGGGGTCAGGAAAATAAAAGGAAAAGACGGAAACTGTGTTGCGATTCGTCAAGCTATCATACAGCTGACAGTTTTTCACAGTTCCTGCTGCTGATTTTCTGCAGTGTGGATGGGCAAAATGCTCAAGAATTTCACCATTTTAATGAGGATATAAGGTGAAAAAACCTCCCCATCATATAAGGTGAATAAACCTCCCCATTTATGAAATTTGGTTGCATAAATGTGATGGAAGAATAAGTTGGCACAATCAAAACAGCCAAAATGTGTTTACGGGAGTTTGTAGATGGGCTATCTTTTAGGTTTGTACATTGTATAAACCTTACATATCTTGAATTAGATTGGCGGTAAGTAGGAATGATACACCATAGGTTTTAAAAAATACCATGCACTTATCAAAACTGTTGGGGCAATAAGCCTTTTGCGAGTTAAATTTAATAAAATCTGAGTTACACTCTAAAAACTCTCGGATCAGATTGACCCAGAATCGGGTCCCATTCAGCGTGACCCTTTTGGGGTCATATTTTGACCAAAAAAAGGGTCACGCCGAATAGGACCCAATTCTGGATCAATCTGATCCGGGAGATTTTAAAGTGTACGTAATTACATATAAACATAACCATTTGAATTTCCCTGACAAAAGACATTGTTGCCACATACCTCGTGATTCGGACAAGTAACGCCACTGTCTCTGGATTGGACTGGTTTCATTGTACCCTCTATACCAATTGAAAACGTGCTGCGCAAAGCGTCTCTCGTGTAACCATATAACTAAGCAAGAGCTTGCCCCCAATCACGGGGTATGGCGACAGTGTCTTTAATACGGAGAATTCATATTGTTATGTTTACGTGAATTTAAAGAACTCAGTGTATAAGATTTTATTCAAATTTAACTGACAATAAGGCTTATTGGTCGTTTTGTTTGCACAATCTGATGCTAAGCAAGGGAGCTCTTTCTGCAAAATTTGGCTGGTCGCGCGTACGAACAGCAGACCTAGACAACATGAAAGAAGTCCACGAGTTCTCCTTACATGATTTGTTCTCCTTACAAAGATGTTACACAAGACGTAGGCCTATACCACAAAGCCAACAGTGTAAAAGGTTTCAAAAGTAGTCCTGTATTTACTCAAATGTGAAATTAAATATAAGGATTACAAAAGAAAACTTTCAATAAAATTTCTGACCTATTTTGGCCCTAGTCCACTTGACAATATCTTTTTGTTCAGTTGAATTTAATTTATAAAACTTACTCGAGTAATACTTTCCGTTCGGAAAATTCCACTTGACATATATTTATGTGCATGGTTTGCGCTTAATGCACAGATTGACCCTGGTATTTCATGCACACATATATTATAGATGGATCGAACTAGGCGTATGGGGTAAATAGGTGACATCAAGGACTTTGCACTCTTGTAGCAAGTTTCATAAGTTTTCTTTGTTTCAAATGCCTTCCTCTCGAAGATGAAAACTGTCTGCTAAGATCTCTGGAAGCTATACCATCTGACCAAGGACGACAGGCTTGCTTCTCACCGACGCGTCAATCTTGTCCAGAAAAAAATTTCTAATTGGTCCCTCCTCTCTACGAAGTTGTAATTCTAACCTAACTTAAGGCCATTCATTTTTAAAGTGTAACTTTAGGGTTCACAACTTACGCTCGAAATCACCGGTATCTGCCACAACAGTTGAGAATTGTTTAAGCTGTTCGAGTAGAGAAGCCATGTTGTCCCTGGCTGCGATCGATGGTAGGTGTATCTTCAAACGGTAACCAGCCAAACGCGGTTCGAAGCATTTACTGGAATGTAATGTGATTGTGCATTAGTACACACACACTGTACTGTTGAGTCCTGTTACGAAGCTGCAGCCCCCTTCCACCCACGTCTTTCACGGTGCGATTAACTGCACTACTGACGGACGTTTACCTTCATTGCTTTTGGACAATTAAAAGCGCGGGGCCTGCCAAGCGACTTTTTCAGTCACAGGAGCTCCGAACAAAACCAATTCAAGGGGGTAGCCAGGGGTAGCCAGTGAAATGTCAGTACAATTTGTACAGTTCAACTTCTGTAATACAAATAGTGCTAGATATTCTAATGGTTTGACGATTTAATAACATCTTTGTCATCCTTGCTTAGGTAATAGAAACTAATTACGTGACCCTAAGATAGGCGAAAACCCAGAGGTAAATGGCCACTGTTACGCTTACAGGGACAAAAAAAATATAAAAAATTCTGAAAATCTGACCTCAAGCATTGATGACCTGTGGAACACGATAGGGGGCCCGCTGTTCACACTGTTAAAATTATGCAGTCCAACAATAGCGTTTCTGTAACGTGTATCACATGCATTACCGAGTTTCTTTATAACAGATACATATCACGACTGTAGAATGGTGCGTTTTGTGCTGTTGTGATGACTCGAGTCAATGACGACCCGATAACGAGTCTGACTCGAGTCAGAATTTCGGCGACTCGACTTGACTCAAACCCCAACGGGTAAAAGACTCCTCTCGACCCGAGTCCCCAAAATAAAAACAAAGTTGACTTACAGTGCCTGTTTAATATTTTAATGTGTTATCAGAAAGAGTAAGATATGATGTGACTGCATGTAAACCCCGACATTATCATTGACTCGAGCTAAATACTTGACCCGGCTCGACTCAACTTTTTTTGCCTCATGACTCGACTCGAGTCACTACTTAACAATGACTTCTTGTCTCAACTCGAGTCACAAAAATCAGTGACTCGTTACAACTCTAGGTTTGTATTACAACAGAAACAGTGACCAAGCTTTGTAAATGTACAATTTTCTTGTGTAGCATCGATGAGTACATCAACCCCAATGCACAAAACCCGTTCTCTGAAGCTAGTCTAGCCATTTTCCTTGTTTTTTCGTTGTGAGCACTGAGCTGGATCAAGAGTGTGCGGACTTTCCCTGTAGTAGCAGGTGCGCCTTGAAATGCCCTTGTTACGGACTGTCATATTGACACCAATGAAGACGTTGGTGCGACAGCGTTTATATTTTTAACCGCATTTCGAAATATCGAACACTGTTACGGTGACAGTTAAAGTTGTCACGAACCTTCAGCAACATCTTGATCCAAGACCATTTATCACACGTACCTCGTCTGACAAAGGGAGCGTAAAGATGTTCTTGTGGCTTCAATTTTAGTTTGGTCAGAAGTACCAAACCCATCTGTTCCCAAACGCTCTCTCTGAACATACTGAAATTATCTAAAGATGTCCTACAAAGGTTCTGTTAAAGCTCCATATGATCATGAGAGCCCCTTTTCAAGGCCGACACTCATCTCTTGAAACCTATCCAAACTGCTTCTCTGAACAAAAAGCAAAAATTGTAGACTTTTAAAAATAATTTTATTACCTCTCTTATTAAACGATTCTCTTTTTGAAGACCTGGAATACCAAAAACCTGTTATTACGTCATTCAGAAATCACTGTTATATTAAAAGGCCTTTTCATTATGTGAAAAAGAACATTCAAATATATTCTTTTTCAAATAACGTAAATCAAAATAATAGGATTGCACTTGACGATTATCAAGCTACTTATTACATAAAAACTGTTTGGGAGATTTTAACATAAGCTTGGCAAAAGTCAGTTTTGTAGTACGCTTCAAAGGCTGAAACTATACCCGAAAGATAGATAGCCTAGAATAAGTTTAGTTACCAGTATTAATCTGAATTTATTAACTTGGGAATAACTTTCATTGCATGCCCTGTGCTGAAACATTCATTTCATATTTTTTTAACATAATTAGGTTGAATCTAAAAATACCTGAACATGCATCTTTCAGAAAGTCTTTTAAAAGTCGACTGAACTTTTCATGCATCTTTCGACCTTTCAAGTTAACACTTAGATACATAGGTCATACTTAAAATAATGCCTTATTACTCCATTAAAAATGTGTTAAACTATAAATGATGAAGAACTACCGTATAGTTGAAATAAAAAAGAACAAGAGCGCCTTCACTTGGCGTTGGTCTTGGGGAATCGGTTGATGGCTCAGATCATACGGAATTCAAATGTAACTCTTAACAACTTAATTATCAGTAGAAAAATACCATCTCATTCGTAATTTTTCAGTGATGAGAAAAGATGAAATATTGAACACTGTTTTGTAGAAGAAACATAATCTTTACCTGTAAAGTTCATTGTCATTGTTATTTATGTACTCTTTAGTTGAAGACTTCAATCTTGACAAGTTCGAGGGCCTAAATTATGCTTATCAGATTTGCGTAACAACTTGCTCAGCAAGTTTCAGCAGCATGAAAACGGCATACATTTGACCTAAATTATTGTTAGCCTTTATTGTGATCCTCTTAGAACTAACCTTAATTTCACAACCTTTTTTACTCACAAAGACTTTGCCGTCCATTTCAACAAAACACCTGTTCAAGCAATAGTCCTCAACCCTCCAAAATGAACTTTTCAGGGTTTTGGGGCAATCTTGAACTTATCCAAAAAGCGAGGCATTGCCTTCCCTGAAAGTTTCAAACTGCTCGCTTACGCAGTACAGAACTACCCTGGCAGCATATTGTCTCAAGGAAAGGAATTTTTCATACTTGAAATTAATACCTCCAAAATAATTATATCATTCTTAGAAATCCAAAACTCATGTCACACTGAGCATTTTCTTAATAAGCTTAGTTATATCACGTCTCTACAACTACAAGCAATGACTGAGTTGAGATAGGTTTAACGCTTATAACGAAAATAACATACACGTAAGTCTTTGTAGGAACTGGACTTTTAATTCCTCATGTATCTATCACCTGTTTAAATTCAATACTGAAAAAGAATTTAAAACTTTCAAAAGCGCGTGTCTAGTTCGTGATGATCAGGTGTTCCATATCCGCCCTTCTCTGGTGGAATATCAATATGGGTATCGTGTCCTTTATCCTCTCCGCCTGCCGACAGGTTGCTTGGTGCTCTGAGTCTGAAAACAAAAGAAAAGAAAACTTCACAATTAACAACATACTGTCCACGCAGTCCTTTAGCTGCCCTGGCACTATTGTTTTTTTGGCATTGGGGGCCCCCTGTCATGACAAGACATCACTGTGGAAAATTTAATACCACATTTTAAATTAACATGGATGATAACCTTCTATATAAATATAGCAGAGTTTCTGTATTATTTCTGGAGAGCATGCACGTATTGATTTAAAAACATGGGTTTTAGGTCTATTTTCTAACAATGAAAACGCGTTCATTGTGCCGTCAAAGGATCATAGTTGCACTGAAAAGTTAGAGTCTGATCTCTATCAACTTTGGCATTACCAAAAACCATATTACGTCTAGAAATTAAAGAAACACTGAACAGTTTTTGTAATCAAATCTGTGGAAATTTCTAAACACCTAAAGGACTGTAAAGGCTTTTTGGAAGGCTGGGATACTGACCAAATAGAGGCCACCCGGATAAATCAGGCGAGGTTGCATCTATTAGGCCTATTAGTCAACGACACTTTGCAAATCACTGCTATCTGACCAAGACACTTAAATTACAGCACAGACAAGCATGGACAATTGGGCCTATCATTTTATTAGCAAAATAGTTTCAAGTTGCACATGCAGCTATCAGACGACTTGAAAACAGAGACCCACCTGCTGCGCGGCTGTGAACTACCTGACAGGTTGCGCAACGCCTGCGCCGTTCCCATGCCAGGCTCTCTCAGGATAGCTTCTTCTTCCTGGTCTCTGCCCGCAAGACTAAAGGTCACTCTGCCGGCAGGAATGCTGAGCATTTGGCCACTTTCAAGGGCTACTGTAAGGGTACCAGACCGGGCTCTCGTTTCCTGAAGAAAAGAAAGAAAACAAGGAAGCCAAATGAATCTGTTACCCTATACATGAACATATTTATCGTGGAGAATGGTTCTGAATTTTATTTCGATGACCGTCATTGGGTACGTTCGATTAGCTTACACAGGGCAAAGCTGACTTGGAGACAGCCGTGTGTGCTGTGTCAAACAAGCGAGACGGTGGGGACGAGGATAAAACCGAGTCAACTCATAGAAGCTAATAGAACGCACCCATTATGTCATCTGCGCTACTTGATGCAAAATGTAATAAGCAGACTCCATCTATGTAAAGTTTATGTTCATACCAGTCCGCCTTAAAGTGAAACAAGTACTTAAGTTGCAGTGACATGTTACAATAAGTAACTCATAACATAACAAACAAAGCCCCTGAAACCAAATTTCTCATTAGCACTCCCTTCAAATCTGAACATCATTCGTAAGTGATACACATCGTAAATCTCACATATCAAATGTCAGGTACAGTTGATATAAATGACGGCTTCAGTTCAATTACCTCCTCAATTTCCTCCTTCATTTTCTTATCCTCATTTTCCTTTTGTGTCTTCTGGCTCTCTGGTATGACATCATCTAGAAAACTCAGCTCGGCTTGAGTAAAGATGTAATCCAGGCCTTTTCGAACGATCACAATAGCCAGCACCTGTCAAATGGAACCAAAATGCAAAATGGTTTCAGTTTCAGACCAAAAGTGTGCAACGAAGGTGCTCCACGCATACCTAACAGGCAGCAGTGTCGTTTCGTTCTTTTTGATCAGGTGATCCTCCGTGTTTTGACTGGAGAGCTGGAATTGTTTCCACTGACATGCACTGTGATATGAGTGTGGCAATTCAGTCTGCGTCCTTTCTCAATGGCCCTACTGACGAGTGGATCGAAAAGGTATGGTGTATTCACTCAAGTACGTGCATATGTACTGGGCACAAGGGATTGTGGTATCTCGTTCCTTTTGAGGCATACAATATGAGGAGACACATAGATTAGTAAAGCGTATCAGAATGTTTTAGTGTGTCAGATGGAACTTGCAGTCAACCTAAATTTTAATTTAGCAAGCAATTCTTCACCTTGTCCTGCAAGAGTTTTAACAGCTTCATCACAGCCTATTCTTACTAAATTTGTCACTGAGCCCTTTCCAATACATGCTAAGTAGAAATTTCTTATACCAAACCACCAGCAACAGGTATTTTGTACCCCTCTAACTTCTTACCAAATCCATCACTTACCATGATTGGAAAGACGATAGCACCTTTGGACGTTTTGATGATCCAAAGAATAGCTAGGCATATTGCCTGGATGGCAGTGAACAGGTGAACCTTCCATAGCTTCACATGCCGGAGGTAAATGTGGTCTGGTTGGTGTTTGGCAGGCATTAGGTACAGAAGCAACCGATCGACAAACTGGCAAAAGGGAATTGATGAGGAGAACTAATGAGCTGGGGGTAAAACTTTCTAGGTATCTTTCCATTCGGACACATGAAAGAATTTTTCTCAAATTCTGAAAAACCCTAACACCCAAAAGTCGAGCCCATTTTAACAAAAAAAAATCAAGATTTAAGATTCAAGATGCATTCATTCCCACACTTCGCAGCAGAAAAAATGGTTGTACAATACAAAGATAACTACAAGGGCAAAAAGTAAGCAACAGCATGGAGGCCACTTCCTTAAAAACAGAAGCTTGGTGTGTTTAAACCAAAAGGGTTCTGTTGATTATCCTGTCATGAACGAAATTAAACTGACATCACACAACAGCAGACCCAAGTGTTCGTCACCTTTCAAAATGGATTGTGTAGGCATCCGTCGGACTTAGGCCCCTATACCTCCAAAACGAAGAAGTTTTGAAGTATGCAACCCATTCGCGTATCACTGTGATGTAACACTACTATGTGCAATTTATCTCCATTTTCATTTACAAAACATTCACTTTTCCTACCTGCACTCCTCGTAACGAAGAAATTCCCATGTAAAGGAACACTCCATATAGCACTGGCATCGGAATAAACTTTGGAAGGTACAAGAAAAGCTTGTATAAATATACTTTTGATCTCAAACTATATGTAAACCACATACACATACTTGGATTACGTGCACGGTTATCATGTACAACCATGCAAAAAAATACAATTCTATATTAATCTGTCCGGCAGATCTTTGCTTCAAAATAAAAAGCAGTTTGGGGCGAAATTTTGCAATAGGTTTTGTGATGGAATTATCTGACGGGCCAGTTCATGCAACTTGTTTTAATGAGGCAGTTCTTTGGCAACGATGTTTATGTTAGTTTTATTGCATTATTCTTTTTTCGAAAATGTAAACAGCTTCCATACAAGGATAACCTCAGAAAATCTCAAATTTCAATGAAGAGGATTCTTACCCTGAGTATTCCTGTCATCAGACTTGACACACCCATCATAATGAAGACCAGTAATCCAGTTACACGCTGTTCCCTAAAAGACGCACAATTTAAGAGGACTAAGGGACAAATTCCACAATATTACCAAATAAAAACGATGGATCAGGCAAAATAACGTCGAATTTTAAGTCTTCTCCACACTTCTCGAAAATATTGCCACAATTTTTCTTTGTTGTCAAAGGGTTTTGTGTTTCGCTTTAGATAGCAAGATTTTCAACAAAGATTAAATTTTCTCTTCACCTTTCAATAAGGAATAAATTTGATGTGTTTTGGCTACTTTTCCGTGTCTACGGTTTGCCCAGTCTCTCTTATATGTTGGATTATAGTTTGATTGAATTGACGCAAACTAGGGTACATCTTCTAGTACCAACATCATACCGGGAAGAGAATATATTTAGCCCTGAGTGTTGACTGCACAAACACTCTCATGAAGTTAACATAGCATTCCTCAATTTAAGATAGTCCTTTGGTGGTTAGGTTTCGCTGCTATGACACGTAGGCTACTCGTATAATAATGACTCCAAGGCGCAAGAGGAAGAGAAAGGGAGTGTGTATCCAGCACTGACGGTGTTGACTGCATGAATACTGTCAGTGTTTCACGTATGTTCACCCAGCACTGCCTGTGTAACAATTTTGCTAAGACATGGGATTGTATGGAGCGGCGCTTGACAGGGGTAGCCTTAATCCGGTCCTGTCTCCTGCGACTACGGCTTCGAATTTTAATCAAAATAGGCAGCGGCGGAGAGCCGTAGCCAGTGTTCGATATTTATACACGCCTGCAGTCTCACATGGAAATGCTGCACCGCGAAATGCAACAAGGAAAGGACATAAAGAGCACGACCCGACACATGACGGTTGTGTGTGTACAAACGTAATGGCAAGAAGGCGACGGTGCGACACGAGGCAAGGGAGCCGTCGTGCTATCGTGTCGTGTCGTGGACTTGCGTCGCCCTGGAAAAGGCTAGGGAGAGGCAGGAATGTGTGTCGTAAAAAGTTCACAATACTAAAGAAACATGTTCACGCGTTTTGACAGGCCAGGAATATGATGGCTCAAAATAGACGGATTAAGAAAAAACAAACTCACAGACAGCCTTCAACTTTTGGCGGTTCGCCAGGGATAACAGTTTTTGACATGACACGCAGGCTGTCTACATGGTTGATAGATAGCACAGTTGCGGCCACAAACCACGGCATTCCCAAGATTGACATCAGGAAAAGTAGCAAACCGACGACGAACAAGTCCAAGTGGTAGCCGAAGCCTTTCTATAGGCAAAAAACAGAAGCGAATGGTGTATTTGATGAGCAGCAATGCAAAACCTGTTACGCATTATTACTTAAAGGATCCATGAAATGATCCATGAATTTTTCTTAGACTCACTTTTTGTGTATCTCTGTACTCTTCCTAAATGTCTGAAGACTGTTTGACAATGTTTTGTTGAACTGAACCGAAAAGTGCATTCTTTAATCATTCCAAATTGACCAAGCATTTCTGGACAAGTGAGGGCACTTTTCCTTTAAAACATGCATGTTCTCATGTTCAAATTGTGAACTCCAAATTTGCTTTCTGAAAACATTTCTGTGAGAAGGTTGCTTGCTGGCTTATTGCTATATTCTTACACAACAAAACAGTGCCAAAGGAAATGAAATCTACAATAGCAGTTTTTAAAAAAATCTAGTGCACAAATCAGTGCAACATTGAGGACCGCTGCCTTGGACGACATCATAATTTTACTCATGAGTATGCAAAAAACATTAGCATAAAAACCAAAAAAGCTCCAAAATATGGGTTAAAATTGCTAAACGAAAATTTTAAATCAGGTAAATTGAAACTCGGAGGTGCAATATCAAGGCTTTTAGTAGGCCCCGTACAATTAATATTTCTATTTCACAGTCCCTTTAAAACAAAAAACTGTGCACTATAACCTCTTTTAGGCCCTATCGTGCAGTGAGAAATAAAATCTAACTTCGATATTGTTCTTGTACTCATGAGTAGCAAACTCATGTAGGAGTCCAGGAACAATGTTGTTTCTTCCACATTTGACGTGTATTTTGCTGACGTATACCCATCACTTTCACACGGTTTCGTATTAGACATAATTTATGTATTTTTTTCCACATAATTACATATTGCAAAGCCTTGATTTTTGTTTTAAACTGTTTAGCATTGAGCACTACAAACCGTAACGGCATGCTGTCATGGCAGTGCAGCACAATTAAACAGTATACACGGTATAATACGCTCATGGTTATACGGTTTCATGTCATGATAATTCAATATTTACCTTGAGTTTATTTTCGCGTCTGTTTACAATGACTGCAGTGATCTGTTGATCCATAAATATCAGGATTCCACACAGGAGTGCTGGAATGATGGCAGCAAAATACGTCCACCAGGGATTGACGAACAATGGAACTATCCAACCTCGGTCATCTCGAGTGGGCTGGATATCAGTGAAAAAGATCTCACGGTCAAACATCTATTAACCCTAAAAGAGCCGTGCCTGGGGTGGCCAGATTACACCATACCAAGAACTTAGCTGTCTCCCGGTCGATCTGACATGCATATAAATGCACTCATTATCAGTAGAAATATGACGATTTAACCTCATCTACAATAGCATTTTGTTATGGCAATTGGAAGTTCATGGTGTCACGCGCGTCGTCCCGACGCTGAGCGAGCACAGTGTGTCTGATTTTCACAAAATTGGTGTCAAAAAGATCGCAAGATGTTACTAAAATATTCGGCAGGCTCTGTATGTGGAAAATATATCGGATATCGGATATATTCCCAGCTCTTTTAGGGTTCGAAAAGGTAAAATACTTAATGGTCGAGTTCGGGCGGCCTGTTCTTGACACGGGTTTCTTGTCAAGTTCTCGCGCTCGAACGGCGGGAACATGACTCAAGAGCACTGTTCTCAGAACAGGATCACACACCACCTCCTCGTCAGGGTTTTACAGCAACACAGGGAAAAATTCGTGAGACTTTGATTTTTGAACAGCTGCAAAAAGTAGAGAGATGGCTTCCAAAGCCATAGACCATGTAGACAATGGGAAGTTTTGCAAAATTAACATTAATTATTTCCCGTAAAACAGAAATGAATGTTCCTGTTTATATAGAAAAGAATTCAGCCCATCCAAACCTGAATTCTCAAATAACGTACATGGAAGCCGCCATGTTGCATGTTGCTGAGTTGTGATAACTGGTTGTTTGTTCCCGGGTTTCAAGCGGCCGACCCACGAACAACAAATCGAGCTGTTCGTGAACATACGGGAACAAGCCGCCTTAACTCAGCCAATGTGACCTAAACGTACGTGCATTCGATTATTTCCCCTTTGAAAAGCATCCTCGAAAATGAATTCCATGGGAACTTGAGAATTGGCACTTTGGGACGATATCGGGAACAAATTAAGAATAACCTGTTTGGTTAAAAGCTGTGGATTTAAATTGATACCCCTCGGGTTCACAAAAATGGATACATTTTTTTCATTGAGTATTCCGAGCGGTGCACCAGGCTGGGTCTGCCATTCATAATGAATAGATTCATTTTTTATCCGTCTCCTTTGTTATTAAATGTTTGTATAGAAAATTGGATATTCCCGTCCTAAATTATCTCACTCCCAGTGCCCGACACCTTGAAACAGTCAAACATGTCCTGTTTTATGATTGTTGTCTCTGTCTCGCTGTACCTGAGAAATAAATGAATGAAATGATTGCGCCTGCTTTGCGCAATGGTTGTACGTTTTGAGACCCATGGGTGTCAGTGTGGCTTCCCTTACCCGTCGATGACTAGCGCAACCTGGCACAAGCCGCAGTATGGTGGACAGGACGGGGTTCCCATTTGCCCGCCTCTAAACTTACTAAAAAACAGGTAAAAGTGCGTCGTTTTCATGTAATGTTGTTTGTATGAAGTTGAAGCAAACGTGAGCAGAATGAAACATACGCTCTGAACGTTGATTTTACGTTTATGCACGATAATCACGCACAAACCTCAAAATTTGAGCGTGCATGATAAAAGTAAGTAGGCACAACATTTAAATTATCTTTCAAATGTCCTCTTTTCGTAAGGAATGCAATGAAAAGCCCAGATGGGTGCTTCCTATGTGCTGTTTTCAGTACTTGGGGGAAAAAGTCTAACCTTTTATGGCCTCTCTGAGAAATACATGAGGCTTTCGACATGAGTTTAGATAGAAGAGAAGTCCCCTGAACGTCTCTTTCCCATTCCATTTCAAAAGCATGACCTCCAGAGAGGTCATAAGAGGTTACATGGAAAAACAAATCCAAACTTTTCAGCGCTTCCCCCAAACCAGAGCGGTTTAGAAAGAGTTGCAGCATGAATGCCTATATTGTTGGAACCAATATGATGGATTATGCGTCAATGCACACGGACTGCAACTAGCACAAAATAGCTCCGAAGTGTGTAACACTGGCGCCACTTTATGGGTGCAGTTTCCCAATTCAAGGAAAATTCTCCGCCAGGCCGAGGCAGACAAAAAGTACCCCCCAGAGATTGTTTCGAAAANGAGGGGTCTGTTTGGGCCAAGAAATGGTGGGATTGTGTCAGTATGGCTTAGGATCATCTCTGTAGATTCAGGGGCACCCACCTGGGGGCAAAGCAGACAAAAATGGGATTGAAAATTAGTCAGAAGAGCCCGAGGAAGGTGAGGGATGTCATTTGAAAAATGGCCGCTGGGAAGGCTTGGCAACATTCACTTTTTAGGGGGTGAGTTTGTTTTGGGCGGATAATTAAAAAATTCATTGGTTAACCCCCTAAAAATTGAAAATCAAATGAAATCTGAAGGACCAAACTAAAAATTGAAAATCAAATGAAATCTGAAGGACCAAACAACACATTGTTTTCTGTTTGAGAGGCCTCAGGGAATTCAGTTGTCTGCCATGGGGCTCCAAACTTGGTTGATTTTACACTATTTTCAATGGAGCTTGAATTGGTTCAGTGCACCCCTATACACGTATGTACACCGATTCGCTGACGCCATTACTCGCATTTGTAAACTTGACGCATGCATGATTTTGGTTAGCAGTGCACTCCCATTGGCGTAGGAACATCGCAGTACTGTCTCCTGAGTCTTGTCACCGGATCGGGGTACATACACAGCTCTGGCCCAAACAAGTTCTCCTCCCTGACAAAGTGGTTCTGTGTCCGCCATGGTGGTATGATCCCCTCCCCCCCCCATCCGCTTATGGAAACGGTCTGGTCAAGAAAGAGGACACTATACCCAAGCACAAACAGCGAGTGGTAGTCGCAGATGAAAGTACATGTAATAGCTTGAAACAAAATCGTATACAAGTATTACCTGAAACTGGTTTGGGACGGTCAATTTAGGCGTCGGGAGTCCTACAAGGATGTCAAACAAGGTCATGGAGATGAAAGCAAAGAACACTCCAAAGTTACTGATGAGGTACCGTATCTGTTACAAAACAAAACAACCATAACAAATTTTACTCTTTCCAGACGAATAAAGGGCTACAATAAAGAAATATTTCTTCAAGCGTTTTAGGCATTAATATGATTAGCTTAATCTATGGGTGAACAGACTAAGGTATAAATAAAAAGGGGGAAAAAGTTCGATCCTATCAAAACTTCCGAAAAGAGCACTGTCAACAAATTATACAAAATATACTTTATACGTAAACATCCATGAAAAAGTAGCGATCTTCATCTTCGCCTGTTAATCTTGACTTTAGATCATCTTATTTCACAATGGTAAATCTTTCTTTCTTCGTAAGAAGCTGTTAAGCGTCGTGAAAAAGCAATGGATTTCTTGATGCACCCTCTGCCTTTAAACTGGTCATATCCAATTTTTAATACTGGCGATTCACAGCAGTGCGCCTCCAAGAGTTTGCAACGCGTTAGCCAATCACAAAATGCGAAATCTGTCGACACTTTCCAGACGCACACAAGGTCGACAATTTTCGGGCACTGTGATTGGCCAACGCGTTGCAAACTCTTGGAGGCGCACTGCTGTGAAACGCCCATATTAAAGGTTGCCGTTTTCTCTAAATAAGACTTTTATCTAGATACAAACAAAAATTTATTATCGCTTTCATTGTCACACATGAAATGGAGTTAAATTGGAACGAAGAGGGAATTTACCCGAGTCGGGAAGAAAGTGGTGAACTTGAAGGTCTTCAGCGCGTAAGACAAGACAAACGTGCCACAGAAGAGAATGACGCAGAACAAGAACACATCAGGCACAGGGTGGTGGTGATCACACGAATCCCCTACGATAGTGCCGTTTAAGCTTTCGCAATCTTCCATGGGAACATCAGCCCAGTCCGAGGCCAGTAAATCAAAAGAAGTATCATTAGGCGGGATACACATGCAGTCAGAGTCTGTGTCGTTCATAATTACATGATGGGAGCCAGGGTGACTGGAAATCAAACAAAATTGTAACAGTTCAAAATAAGTAATACTCCACCGTTTGTGTAAATAAATGCATTGAAGCGCTATTATTAAATTATTCAAATTCTTTACATTTCAACAACTTGGATAAGAAAAATTAATTCGCTCAAATGTACAGATTTTCTTCTAAGGCTGGAATATCAGTAACAAAATTATATTTTCATATGCAGTATAGACCACGTGAAGTTAACCTCTAGGCCTCCTTCATCAAATACAGGTAAATATTGCTCTTTTAACAGCTACTTCGATGCCTTTTTCGTAATAACACTGATGTAAACTTCCAGATTCGTGAGTAAAATTGTGATGTAATTTTAGGTAGAAAGCCTGACTGTTGCATTATTTTAATTTGCGCACAAAACTGTTGAAATACATGTATTTTAATATTTTGTCGTCCTTACTTTCCGTTTCTATTGTGACTCACAATGTAAGTATATGGTAATGCGACAGAAAGCAACTCTCTCTCAGAAAATGTTTTCCATGAGCTCATTCTGAGTTCCTAATAAAACAGGAAATGAATAGTGCCCTCACCGAATAGCATCACAGCAACAGTCCCCTTAGCTGTCGTGTGACGTAGCGGGCGCACTCTATTTATTATCTGCGCCTTTCCGGCCAGCTTAAGGGTACAGACCAGAAAATAAGCTGTCATAGACGACAGTGATAAATATCCCCACTTCAAAAAAAAATCAGGAAAGTACTCACAAGTTCCACAGGTGTTCAAGACACACATCGTATTAAAGCTCACTTCCTTATCATTCATTTTCTTTTAAATTTTCAGTGGCTAAACCGATGACTTTTGAAGATATTTCTCTCCAGAGAAAATCACCCCTCAAAACAGTCGTGAGGCCGGTCGCCATTTTGAAAATTGATGTCACACTCCATTGCAAAATAGAGCAATTAGAAGGACCCCGTTCGGTCCGATGCTTTCAGAGATACAAGCTGGCAGTCCTGCCCCAACCAGACAGTCCACATGCCACGAAACGCTCTAATAGCAGAGAATCTGATAGCCGATAAATTGTGATTCGGTCCGCTCAGGCTGTTTTGGACCTATTTACTGGCCTGCAACCTTACGGGGCTGTTCCTGTGTTACTGGGCGCCATCAGTCTATAAGAAAGGACACTGAAGGAGTTTTAACTCAGGCACTTAAAGGTGTTCAATGATGGTCGCCGCCGAGTCAGGCAAATAATATAAAAGCATTCCTAAAAATGCCTGATTACTGCCTTAATCTTAGCTGGTCAAGCGGGGCCAGTAATATCCTAGCAATACTTGTAGTTTTGCTCGTAATTATTATAAATTATCGATGTGACCAGGAAATAGAGAGAGAAAAATTCCTGATATTAGACCTACTTTTGCCATCGAAAATAAAGTTTTTAAATTTTGATACACTGTTCTATTATCCATGCAAAGTTTGTAATTCCATTCTCCTCCATCCAATACATCAGTGTTCAAAGACTTGGTGCGAATTTAGCTTGTGTGTTGGTGGTTTTCCACAGGGTGTGTGATGCGTCTAGTGTAGTAGTGTCGTAGTAGTTAGCTTTGCACACCCGATCTCTACCGTCAGCTGCTGCCGCTGGCAAACCCCGTTTTGGGGCAAAAAGGGAGCCGAGTGCGTAAGCCTCCCCTGCCAGCACATAGCCCCTCCATTATCAAGACTCCTGCTGTGAATCCTCGAGGCAACACACAGTAACTGGGCGTCTTGCAACCCCAGGCTGAACCTGCAAGGGATCTCAGAGCAGCAGTGGGCCCCACCGGCATGGTGTGCAGGCCCACCAACCGGCGTGTAGACACGCCCTGGCGCCATGCCAACCACTGCCCCAGCTATGGGTTAAATAGACCTGCAGCCATGCTTAAATGGCCCTGCGGCCTTGTGGGTAACCTCAGAAGAAGTAAAGGCTAAGGAGTACACCTGACAGAAATATGGAGTTGGGGCCCCGAAGGCAGTCTGCTGACAAACTTTGTCATCTTTCTGACAGCCCCTGCAGCCAAAGCGATGCCAAACTGTAGCACTTTGTGTTCCGTTGGACTACATCGACTAGGCAGAGAGGGGAGTCTTGGTGTATGAGCAGCCTAGGACTTCCATAGCTTCACGCCCAGGAATCAGTACGCCACACCTTCATTTTACTGACTAACAAAGTCCTGGGGTGATGGGCGAGTGGTGACGGTGGCAGGCACAGGATGGTGCTGGTAGCTACAAACCTGCACTTAGGCAGCCAAGGCGTATCCGGTCGTTCTCTTCCCACTAAGGCAAGGGCGGAGTTCGGTAGCAACCTTGGTGACGGAGAGCCCTCTTTAGGGACAGCACTGCTCCCCCATTGGGGAAAGCTCTAGAAAAGGTGACCTAAAAAATGCTTGCCTCTTCACCCCCTGCCAGCATACCGCAGCTGGATGGGCATCCAATCACGCGGTCGAAATCAACTGAGAAAACGAAACACCAGTAGAAGAGCCATGCAACTTGCAGCATGGAATGTAAGAACCCTGGTGGACACCAAGAACAGCAAGAGACCAGAGCGCATGACAGCTATTGCTGGCCATGAACTGTCGAGATATAACATCGACATCGCCTCTTAGAGCGAGACCAGATCTCGCGGAAACAGGTGATCTGACGGAAATTGGCGCGGGGTACACGTTCTACTGGAGCGGCAAGGGAAAGGACGAGCCTAGTGAAGCTGGCGTGGGCTTTGCCATTCGTACAGCTCTTGTCAGCAAGTTTGAAACACTTCCTAAGGGAATCAGCGACCCTGCGCATCCCGCTGGCTTGCAACATCCACCTGACAGTCATCAGTGCCTATGCCCCAACCATGTTGTCTGCTAACAAAGAGAAGGAAGCATTCTATTAGCTCCTCAGCAACACCCCCCATGCAACACTAGTAAAAGACAAGTACTCCTATTGGGCGACTTCAACGCTCTTGTTGAATCCAACACTGTATGGCTATCAGTACTGGGTCCTCACGGCATGAGAAAGGAAAACTCAAATGGGCTATTTCTGCTGACTCTGTGCTCTGAAGAAGATCTGACTATCACCAACACACTCTTCAAACAGCCAGACATCCATAAATCCACCTGGATGCACCCCCGCTCCAAACACTGGCACCTGATCAAATTCATCATAACGAGACGTCGTGACATTGGTGACATTTTGGTAACCCTGGCTATGAGAGGCGCAGACTGCTGGTTAGATCATGTTATGTTAGGACCTCAACAAAACATGGAAAGCAGCCCAGCAGTGTGAAGAGGAAGCTCGAGGTGAACAAGCTTAATAGCCTGCAAATCCAACATGCCTTTAGTGACGCCCTATCCGAGAACCTGCAACAGTTACCACAGGATGACGACAATCCCGACTCTGAATGGATAACTTTCAGAGACACAGTCTACAGCACTACCGAGTCGGTGCTTGGGCACCTTCAGAAAAAGGATCAAGATTGGTTTGATGACAATAACCAGGAGATTCTCGATCTCCTGGCAAGGAAAACAGCAGCCCACACAGCCAGGCTGAGTGACAGGTTCTCAGCCTCAAAACACGAACACTTCAGGAAGCTGAGAAGTGTGGCCCAGTTTAAGATCAGGCAGATGAAGGATGCTTGGTAGGAGGCAAAGGCAGAAGAACTCCAGAGCTATACCGATCAACACGCCATGAAGCTTTTCTACAGTGTTTTGAAATCGATTTATGGACCTTCCCACAGCATCATGACTCCAGTTCGTGCAGTAGACGGGACCCTGCTTTATACCGACAAGGCGCACATCCTTGAGCGCTGGTCTACCCATTTCAGACAGCTGCTTAACAGGCAATCCACCATTGATAAGCAGGCACTCCAGGACATGCCACAGAGACCTCTTCTACCGTTTACGAGAGTCCAACTAGAGAGGAGACACTGAAGGCTATCAGCCAACATCAGACTGGCAAAGCCCCTGGACCAGACGGAATCCCTCCTGAAATTTACAAGGCGGGGGGTGAGCTTATTGTCAACCGGTTGACCAACTTGTTCCAAGACTTCTGGGAGAAGGGGGGCTGCCTCAAGATTTCAAAGACGCCAACATCATACACCTGTACAACAACAAGGGCGATAAAGCTGTCTGCGATAATCACAGAGGCATCTCCCTCCTCAGTATTGCAGGGAAGATCTTGGCGCGTATCCTGCTGAAAAGGATCACCGAGCACCTAGTGGACAACGTGGTCTCTGAGAGCAAGTGTGGCTTCCGACGGAATAGAGGCATTGTCGATATGGTCTTTGCTGTCAGGCAGCTGCAAGAAAAATGTATCGAGCAGAGACAAGACTTGTACCTGCTCTTCATAGACCTCACCTAGGCCTTCGACACGGTCAGTAGACCAGGCCTTTGGTTCATTCTGTCCAAACTAGGTTGCCCCCCCCCAAAGTTTGTCAGAGTTATACGGTCTTTTCATGACAGCATGGTGGCCAAGGTGGTCGAGAACGGCGATGTCTCCGAGCCCTTCCCTGTCACAAACGGAGTCAAGCAGGGCTGCGTTCTGGCCCCGACTCTCTTCAGCCTGCTGTTCGCCGAGATGCTGTCAGCTGCGCTCACTCAGACCTGCGCTGGCATCAAGATCAAGTACAGGACAGACGGATGCTTCTTTGATCTACGTCGTCTAAAGGCCAACACCAAAGTGCGCGAAGCCGTGGTCCGTGACTTCCTCTTTGCCGATGTTTGCGCGCTTGTCGCCCACTCTGAAGAAGACCTGCATCGCTTGGTTGATTGTTTTTCCACCGCTGCGAAAATCTTCGGGCTGATAATCAGCATCAAGAAGACTGTGGTCATGTTCCAGGCGGCCCCCGGCACCAAAAGGCCAGAATCAGTCATCGAGATTGATGGCGCTCCATTAAAAAATGCTGAGGACTTTACCTACCTTGGTAGCTGCCTCTCCTCGTCTGGCACTCTGGACAAGGAAATCTCCTGCCGACTGGCAAAGGCTAGCAGCGCCTTTGGGCGTCTCTGGACAAGAGTGTGGCATGAGCGCGGCATCACGCAGCAAACGAAAGTTGCCATCTACAGAGCCGTCGTAGTGTCGTCACTCCCTTACGAATGTGAAACGTGGACCTGCTATCGGTGCCACATTAAGAGGTTGGACCCATTCCATCTCCGCTGTCTGCGCAGACTCTTGGGTATTCATTGGGCAGACCGCGTAACAAACCAAGAAGTCCTTCGTCGTGCTGCTCTGCCGGCCCTGATCACTCAGTCTCAGTTGAGATGGTCAGGCCACATAATGCGCATGGAAGACAGCCGTCTCCCTAAACAAATCTTCTGTTCCGAGCTGGCCAGAGGAACAAGAAAACAAGGAGGCCAGTTCAAACGTTATAAGGACACCACAAGTCCTGGCGGGCCTGTAACATCCCTGTCACTCGGTGGGAAGGGCTAGCTGTCAACTGCACTGCCTGGAGGCAGTCTACGCTGTCTGGGGTTAAGGCATTTGAGGCACGGCGACTGGAGCAGCTTGACGCCAAACGCCAGGCCAGAACGAACTGAAGACCAAACGCTGTTGCTGCCATAGCCTGCCCGGCGTGTGGTCGAATATGTGCTTCAGAGCTCGGGCTGCAATCCCACATGAGGTGCCACTGACGTCATCGTCGCCTTGCGACGGACATCCATTACGAATTTGGCTAAGACTGGCCAACAAAATGTTCACTACTACTGGAACGCTTAGTTCATACGGAACAAAATGCGCTATTTCATCACAGGGGGTGACCGTGAAATCTCATAAAATACGCTTTGTACAAATGCCATAATAAAAATGATTCGAACAAAACACAAAATCTGGTAAACAACCGGGCTATTTATTCCAAAAATAACTCCAGAAGAAAGAGCTCATTAAGGGCAATGACTGCACGTATAGATTTAGGGCACACAGCGTAACGCAAGCAGCTGCGCAAGCATTAAAGTTTATACTTGCAATTATACTAGTAGGCACCAAATCACCCATACCGCCATGATCACCCATACAATACCTCCACGAGACTCTATACAAAAGACCATTATCTCTCTCTTTTTTCGTGGTTCTAAGTGAAGAATGCTTACGTTTGGAGCGGGTATTCGTGGCTTATCTCGATCAGATTCTCGATGGCTTCCACGATGAAGATAAACGCTATCAGCGCAGCGAACGCCTCCTCCGTGAAACGAGTGATGTAGCGCACATAGGCGCTGAAGTCGGTCGCTACCAAGATGATGCAGATGATACAGGTCCAGAACCCAATCCACACTCGGAAGGACAAATAGTTCAATCCTAACGATCTGCAAGAAATAAAATTTGAAGTTGAAGAAGATGACGTAGTAAGGATATTCTGATTTGAGCAGACGGAGCCAAATGGAGGGCACTCATAGGAAAGGGACAGATAAAGTAATAAATACATAGGGTAGGTCATTTCTAAATAGAACTGCCTGTGTTACACCCGCTAGCATAGCCCCCCTCCCCCCATTCCTAACACAACTGTTGTGGTTCCCTATTATACAAGACTAAAATAGAGTCAGGTCCGAGCTCCCCACGGGTCGGTGTTAGTGACTCTGCCAGGAAGGTAACAGGAAGGTAACGCTTTCTGCAGTCGGTATCAAACTTCCACCAAGCTTGTACGAACAGAGCTTCAATATTCTATGTAGCTTGTACACGAACCTACAAACTTCTGCAGGCCAAGAAGAAAATAATGTTTGAGTCGTCCATGACAGATGCATGTGAGGCTTGTACAGTTCACACGTGATATTACTGTTATAAAATGAACGACGGTTGCACGAAGGAATGATGGGTAAGCTGCACAGAATCTCACAGAGTTTACATGGTCCCAAAGATTTCGCTGTGACCAGTTTGACAGTCGGAGGCCGCTTTTGTACAAGATTTTACATTCCACAAAATACAAGACGACATCTGATCAGTCTAGATACCAGGTATCTGATCTGATCAGGTTAGTTACTTGTGTAACATCCTTTCATTTTGGAAGCCCTATACCTTTCCCTGTCAAGGTTCACTTGGGGAAGATTTGTTGACCTACAGGTACATGTCTATCGAAACACTTACGTGCACAGCTGGAACATGATTGTCTCAAATATCAAAATAGGTCCGGTGCTTCCAATAATGGTTAATGGCTGGCCAGAGAAGAGATGGTAAATGACACCGCAAATAGCTCCGCCAATCAAACTCTCAAATGCTGCCTAAGGAAAGCACAGAAAACAGGTACGTCAAATGAAACGATAATACTGGATGTTAGTGCAATTATCAATTTTATTGGAACTTTGCTTGAACTTGCACTCATCCATCCATTTTTGCTTGAGAAGGATTTCGTTTTCGAAATTTTTGTTCCATGGTAACCCTATTCCCCATAATTGTCAACACTGATCAGTGTCAACAACAAATTAAGATTTGTCAGGATGCGACATCAAAATTTCGTGAGAATGGTACGCCCAAATCTTTTAAAATCTGTATAAAGTCTTAGAGACCATGGCACGAAACATGAAGTGCGTGGCAGTATGCTCTATCGAGATACATGAGGAGAGACATCGCGCCTCGTCCCTTTGAAAATACAAAACGAAGCAACGAGAAAAAGGCATTTTCTGAATGTATATCAACTAGTATGGGCCCCAAGCTGGACCAAGAGAGGGCGGAATTTTCCTGGTAACGGAGACTCCTTTGGTATTATCACTGCACTTCGCTGCTTCACCAACGACAAGAAACGCAAGTGTGGCAGTCGCATCGCTACCAAGAAAATGAACACTCGCGACCAATATGGTTCTTTCAAACCGATGAGGAGGTGCTTCTGCTCAGGGCGAATTACTTTGCAAACCATGGCACCAATTCAAAGTTGCTAAAACGAGACAGTAGACATTGGTATAGCTGCCAATTTCATCACACACAGTTAATGGGGCTGAGAAATGAGACCTGTGACTGAAAAGGGTTGATTGGAATCCAGTCTCGTTTACTTATCATAGTTTTGGCCACGGCATGAGGATGTCTAAATTGGTTGAGCAGGTCTTATAAAATGTTTTAAAACGGGTGCAGTGAGAACGCAAGGAAGATCTTCTTGGTACAGTGACTCAACTTGAGTTCTTACGATGGTATTTGTGCCTCGCGTGTTATTGACAGATTTAGTTCAAGAGAGTCAGGGAAGCTATCTTTTATCAAACATGATGGGCCCAAAAGAATGTGTGTGCTGAATTGGCAAAGACCGATCCTCTGTTTTCCGCAGTCTGTTGCCAATACAATAGTTGTTTGACCCGTGCTGCGAGTGATCTTGAGCGCACCTTCAGTATGTTTCTTTCCCCTACAGCATTAATTCTTCGATCAGGAGTAAAAGATGTGAAAGAATTCAGAGCACTCACGATGTAGTCATTAGTTGCTCCTCCAAGCAGCCCACCGAACGTGATGATGGGTGTGATGCAAGCAATGTACATAAAGATGAATGAGGCCACGCACTGTATATTGAGTGCGTCGGTGAAATCACTCACATAGAACGGCAGCTTCGTCTTCACATCATTTATCAGTCCACCAAAGAGCCTGTTTAAGTGTTATTAACATAAAAGAACAAGTGTTGGAGTGTCCCTCACTACTTAGAAAACAGGTTGACACCTCCATCTGTGGGCCTGCGTCTCCATTTTACCATAGCGAACTTGACCTTATGTCGGCATACTTTTTCCCAAGAAAAAAAATAATAAAATTTTTATGAAAAATTCATACCTTCCTGTCCGCTCAAGTTCAAATTTAGCATCGTCTTCCAAGTGAATGCTGAGAGGTATAGGGTGAACAAAGTGTTCTGACTGGCGTCTTTTTTCCTGTGACGGCGTAGACTTCGGCGGCTCAATGCGTATGCTTGGATCCCAACTCCCTAGTAAGCGAAAAAAATTATCGACGACTCTATGAACTATTAAAAGATGATCTCTAAAATCATCACACGCCGATAAAATTATTGCAATGACAATGCAGAATAACAAAAAGATTACGGCAGCTGAAAACGATTGAATTACAAAGAATTAATTGCATAGAGCATACCTGGAGGAAGAACGGTGACCTGGTCCATGAATTCATCGATTCCAGCAAGTAAGTCATTCCGATCCCTTGCCCTGTAGGCTACATCATGGAACACCTGTGAGGTTACACGAAGTTCATGAATCACTCATTTGAATTATTAGTTGCATATACTGACTGGGGTGAATAATATAGAAAAGACAAAACAATCTGTTGACCTCAGTTGGTTTTTTGGGGGGTCTCTTTCGGCCATTTCATACTCTACGGGAAAGCGTACAAGAACGCGGTTTTGTGACGTCAGATCAAAATATTGCACTGCCAACTCTTAAAGAAGTACACATTTCAATTCAAAGCAAGTTTCGTTGCAAACCATCCGTGATCCGAATGCCGCCTGAAATACGAACCAGCCTTAAGGATGCAGTTTCTCGGTATAAATAATATTGATCACATAAAAAGGAGGCTGAGGTATTCGGCACCGTTGGTATTAGCACATGAGGCAAAATTAATAGTGTCCTGCATGTAGATGAATACACTCAGTGGCGTATCCAGCAGGGGGCAGGGGGTAACTTGCCCCCCCCCCACGGATTATTTTCAAAGAATAGCCTACGTCCTAGGTAAGAAAGTAATCGGTGTATTTACTTATTAAACATTAGCACCAAAACCCCAAGAAAACAACACCAAAAAAAATGAAAGCAGGGATGTCGGGACCGCTAGTAATTAGACTTTTGACATTTTTTTTTCTCCCCAACCTTCATTGTTGAATAAGCCCGAAACTATATTTGACTGTGAATCCCCCCCGTCACCAAAAGCTGGAAAAACAGCTGAACCAAAGTTACAATATAAGGAATGGGGACACACCTTATAGCGCATAAATATGTAAATAGCATACGAACAAGAAAGGTGACCAAAATGCCTTCAACGTTGCACAACAGAAATTGAAAACAAGGTTAGTAGGGGCAAACAAGCATTTACAAGAACTGCATTTGAAGAATTACTGACCTCATCGGAGAAGAGGGTCGCCATGCAACGTCCAATCTCTCGATACTTGACAGTATCTCCTGTGGGCGGACCAAGGAGTAAGAATAGAAATCTGGACGGGATTGGCACCTCGGTCATGTCTGGCAGCACAACGCCGTTGGCCAAACGGACAAAAGCAACAATCGGCTTCGTCAAGAAGTCTACTTCGCCAACCAAAATATTGGAAGCCTCTGCCCCGGGCGGGATTTTTTTTAAGAACTGCAATTAGATCAGACAGATTCAGCCTTGTTGGCAAAAAGAATGTTAGAGAGAGGGGGTGGAATACAAAATGTAGTGTAGAAAATAGAATAATAGACTAATTACGCCGTGGTTCCAAATGAAATGAAATAAAATGAAAATGGATTAAAACAATAGTGAAACACTTGGCTAATTATCGTTAGCTGGCTATTTTCTGCTTGGCCACCTTATATAATCTAGCCGTGGATAGGCTGTATTTCACGGGTCGACCTCTTGGACTTAACTGGAGCCACACTTCCACTAATTTTTGTTGTTGTACATAATGTATTTTTATAAAACAATAATATTATTGAATTGTAAAGACATTTTCATTTTACCCTGGTCAAACATTGAGGATAAAGTCTGAGCACAAGATCACGGCAGAACCATGGCCATGCAGGCCGTGTGGAGTTAGAGTAGAGGTCGGTGGTTCAGAACCATGCCACTCTTGAAGTTTGTCCCATTCTAACCGACCTACCTTGCTATCTTTCTGGATTTGCTCCAGACTATCGGATGTTTCCAGTCTTCCAATTGACCCTTGGCTGTTGTTACGACGCATCTTTTCGAGATTTGAAGCAGAGCTATGTTTCTTTGATAGGAGACCCTCAGAAGTGGCAGCTGCGACCAAAGATTTCCAAGAAATTCGAGTTAATACACATAGTATTATGTACAATTTCTTTTCTTTGATAATTAATTATTTCCTCTCATTAATGATCTATGCCTCTCTACTCTATTTCTTGAATTCAGTTCTTACCATTATATCCTTAGAATGTTTTATCAATTCATCGTTGTATTTAAGAATTATAAAATTGGATCCTGAAATAACGGTTGGAATTTATACTTTGTACCTTGTTCCATACTGATATTCTGATTTCCTCCAGTTGATTGACTTCGATCGATTCCGGGATACAAACTGCTCCTTCGCCTTCCTCTCCCAGCTTGTTTTTCCATTTGTTTCTCTTCCTTAGACCTTGCAATTATTTTCAAAATAGGGACTAAAGTGAATTAGGACAAATCCAAAGAGTCGTTGTTTAAATCATAATGGACGCAGCTTACCTTTCCGAAGAAAGTGAACGGTGCTCTCATGAAGTTTATAAAACGACGAGACTTTTGGAAAGAAAAATTGTTGATATAAATTTGGCATGCTTCTGTGTCCAATTGCTTTCATTGCAATCACTGGTAGAATCTGGCCAACTGAGTGCAAAGGTTCAAAATTCAAAACTTGAAATCACAGCGCCGGCCTATCACAGCATTGTCTCGAAAATGCACTGCCAGAATTGAAAGTATGGAGTATCTCTTGCGGAGTTTAATTAATATAAGCTATCTAGGAAAGCCGGGCACACTTGATTTAAATGAGGAAATAGATTTAATCGGGTCACCTTTTCTGCAAGTGATGACGATGTTTCCTTATCAGTGCTTCCTTCACGTACGGTCTGTTTTCATCCTCTAACTGACCCGTTGCAATCATGTTGTCTATGACCAGATCTATTGGGAAAAGAAATACGAAGCTCAGTGGATATTGCAGCATAATCAGTGAGGAGTTTCAACTGCTGAAAGAAGTACTTCAATATATCGTTTTAAGTCAACTCTTTGAGGGTCAACTCACTCAAAAGCGATCGGGACCCCCCAATGTGTCAAGCTGAGGAGGCCTTTGTTGCTTGCTTTCTAAAACTTTTGCGAATTGGACATTTTACTTTTCGGTCTTCCCTTTCAAAGACTAAACCCATGCCTTGAAAAGAAAGGTACTTGATTCTTTGCATTTGACTCAATTGACACAAACATGAGCGTATTCCTAAGTCCCGAGTTTGACTGCAAATATGTAAAATGACCCGTCCCTCGTTCGATCGTTTCAACAAACAAAACACATACTTTATGGTGAATGAAAAAGGACGAGTCGCTCTGCAAATACAATCAACGAAAGTGTCTAACCGGAGATAGTCCAAAGATTGTCTGCGTTCATATCCAAAAGCACTGTCCCACCATGAAGTAACCTCTTCAGCTCAAACAGACTATGCAGCGACAGAGTAGCAACGTGGGGCTTACTCCAACGCCCGGCTCCATAATCCACATCCTCTTCATATTTCACCCATCTGTAAATTCAAATACACAGGAAATTACTTTGACACAGCTCTTTCATATAAAACAGAATCTTGCCAGTAAAACTGATGGCATTATTTCATGCAGAGATAAGGCCTACAAAGTAACAGTTGGAAATTCTGGATGTAATATTGCAATAAAGAGACAATTCTTATAAAGACAAAGATTGAGATTCCTCAGAGAACCTGAATTTCAAAGGCTCAGACAGTGTATATCGGCACTCCCTCAAAAGAATGTAAATAAAAAGGGGAAACAGAGAGGAAAAAAGAGAGAAACTATAAAAGGAGGAATCCCCAGTTTGCTTTAAAGTACCTCAGAAATGACTCCTTCCGCTTTTAATTGTGTAAAAAGTCGGGTTTCCTTTGCACTTCCTCACCTGACGGGTCCCGGCAAACGTTTTTTTTTTCCTGGCTGTCCTACGTTTCGTAACGCCTCGCCTGCATTATTTCCTAGTGACATGGCTTCCTTTGTAGCGCCCTCTTGCGGCCAATATGACTTTTTGTTAACTTTTTTGCACAGCTTATACTATAGTGACCCCTCTGTTATGCGCCTTTTCCAAATGACAGGTGCATAAGATATGCGCGGCATTTAAATGAACTAGTTCGCACCCGCTTTGGATGCTGCACATTGTTATAGAAGCTGTATTCTCATTGCGTAATCGGAACTTTTCTGATTGGGCAGATCGCTACTGTCAGTTGATTTTCAAATCCTCCTTACTTGCAGCCACACCCACATTTTGAGATCTCCGCCGATTCTAGCTCCATAATAATTAATTGCATTTTCTTTCGGCAGCTTGTACTTTGAATTATCCTACTGTTGCCGTGAGGCCTTCGACCCGATATATTGCTTGGCAGGAGCGCAGGCGATCCTTGGGTGAGCAGATATTTCCTTTTAATTTAATTTCACCTGGCTGTCTCCTTCCATTCCAGCAGCTTGCCTTCTTCATCATAGAACAGTTCCTCGAGCTCAGAGAAGAGATCGTGACTCTCCCCACCCAACCTCTCGCCCTCCTCACCGAGTAAAAACTTGACTCGCTGTGCAGCCGTTTCACCTGCGCACAGTGGACATACACAACACACAGCGTGGAACGTATTTGCAGCCTGGTACACAAAATCCCCCCTCTTTGTGACGTTCAGAGGTTACACAGAACAACCCATTACATTGTTTCCAACGAAAATGCACTGCAATTGCTCACTATCTTTATAGTGAGACCTTTACCACACATCTAGATTGTTTTCAGTTTTTACAAAATAAAACGCCACTTACCGTCATACAATGCCTGATGAGTAGGACCCAATCCATTTGGTGTTGTTGTAGGTTTGGGGTCTCTGCCGACCGTTTCCGACCCTTTTTTCTGTTTGGTACTGTGGCCTTTAGTCTTCGACTCAAGGGGCATGTGCACACCGACGAAGATGTCATTACGACGACGAGCTACATAATATGAATGATGCAAAACACATCAATCCCCAACATCAATCCCATTTTGGGTGATTTTAAGAAGGCTTTATCTTAAATACCTCTCAAGGGATTAATGGGAGCGGAAAAGGATCCGATATATCAAACCTTTTTAAATTCGTTCCCACAGTGCTTTGCAAAATCATTCAAGCAGACATCATTCGACAATAACGCTCTGTCGCATAACTTCAAAACAGTGGTGTCATTACAGTGAAATTTCTGAGCAGTCACCTCAAGGTGCTTACACTGTGTTTTTTTTAGGGGGCAGAAGGGCACTGGGTACTAATTGAAACCTAAAACGGTTCCTTTGTCTTTGTTGATCCCGTGACTGGTCCCGGGAAAGAAACTGCGGCTGGTCTCGTGAAAGGAGGACCTGACTACAATTTGATATTCCAGGTTTTAGATTGTTTCGTAGGTTAGAATGTGGATGGGTGAGTCATTCAGGCTTTCATTGTAAACAGAAGGGGTGGAGTAGTGACAGGCTTCCATATGTATATTTCTGAAGCGTTCCTTACTGATTTCTCGTTCAAGCGGAAGAGGTTTGGCGTGTTTGGCCCCGGTATCTACCACCACTTCCTCGTCGTCCATCCCAGGCCCACCAGGATGCATGGCTTTGCCTTAATCGATGTCTACCCTACAATAAAAGTCAGTAACGAATTTGATACGAGCATCAGGTGAAATGCCAACTGATTTTTTCCCTGATAACTTTGAACAGAATTGCTGACAGGAAATGTAATAAAAAAAACTGATGTAGCTGTGACGTTTAACTCGGACACACCTCGCTTTGCTCCCTTTATCAACCGTGTGAATCAGGAGTCCAAACTTCTACACAGCTGTCCAACTGTTTATATTAATGTATAGATGTATCGTACGCAAAGAAAGTTACAACGTACAAATAGTTGAGTTCGAAGACTTACCATAGATTGCGAAGCAGCCAAAACAGTGAGAGTGGAAAGCAATCTACTTTTTTTACTGCTACCTCTTGGGCCATTTCTTGAAATCAAGGATGACTAGACCATTACAATTACAGAGTTATGTAGGCCTGAGTAACAGGACGTGATTTGGCTCTTGAGCTGCCCTTAGGAGTAAGGCCAGAAGGTTGTTGGGAAATATTCCTTCCTGTGACATTTACTCTTTAAGTTAAACCTCGGCAGCCACCTTGCCAATAGACCTCTTTACTAAGAAATTCATAATTATGCACGCATGCGCACAAATGACCTTGGTGGAAAGAAGTGTGAGCGGGCCATTAAAAATGTACAGGGGTGCGACTTTGATGATCATTTTCTCTCGGGTTTTCTGGCTTTGTTCGTTTCTTTCTTCAGAAACTTCCATTAAATCTTGTTTGCTATTAGTTTCTAATTTAAGTGGAAATTTTAGTGCTCTGTAAAGAGACTTTATAATCGTAATTTTTCCTGTGCGCACGAGATCGCCGTTTCCTTCCTTCCATCATAAGCAGTATAAATTACGTTGTTAGTGTAAAAGGTCTGTTAACCACACCAGTCCAGGCTTGATAGGTAGGTCTCTGATGAGGACGTTACCCTGACAGCATACAACAGGTGGTCGTTCTTTTGGATGATGCTCTTTCTTACGGAAACGTCTTACCGCCACACACATAGCGTCACGTACATGTACGTACGTGATAGTTTTAACGTATGTACAGTACGTGAAAGTAACATGTACGTATGTAAAAATGGTTTTCATGTGTGAGGCAGTAATACGTTTCCGTACTGTCTTATAATAATCTGTTGCCGGTTGCCGAAAAAAATGCGGCATGTACACCTACACAGCTATCTGGCAGTTAGCCAACACCTTCATAAGGAAAACTAAATTGGGAATAAAACGTAATGACTTGAATTCTTTTCAATAGACTCTCAGGGATCTATGATGCCTGATCTAGGGAAGAAAAATCATACACAGTCTGAGCTGGAAGCTGAACTAAGAAACAGTTCTTGTGAGCTTGATGTATGCGTCTCCGCCGATTATTGTAGACTAATGAACTCCAACGTTAACAGAAACAACCGGGAAAAATGAAGATGTGTTGCAAGAAGTTCAGCATCTTTGGCTTTACAAGAGCCCGTGTTTTTGTCCTATTTTTCGGAGTACTTATCTGTATGTGTCAAACGCTGGTTAATGAGCAATGGCTAATGGTGCATTAGAATATATCTAACTCGCAAGCACTTAGAATAAACAAATTAGGGTCGCCCGTATCAGGGATTTCGTAAGATATTTGACTGGAAATAATCAGCGGTAACTTTAAAAAAAAATCGTCGAGAAGTTATTGAATTGATTTTTACTTCAGGTTTTTTTTCAAAAACAGTACTGGCAGTTGGCACCGAATCTAAGTCGAAGCGGGCATATTTCCGCTGCATATGTACGTTAAGCACAGTTGTAAGCATATTATCACATTTGTCCCTTTGGTGGCCCATATCTCCCCCCCCCCAGGAATGTAAAGCCGTGTCCGAAACGGGCTTCCAGAGCTACAGCTAGGTCTATTGTCTGCGCGTCTCCACACATTTCCAATGGAGCGAAGACCTAGACCTAGCTCTAGACAAGAGATTCGGATGCGGCCTTAGTCAATAATCCAAGAAACTCGATTACGCATAACTGGAATAATCGACGCTCATGCGGTGCATGCAAGTTCTGGAAACGCGTGCTATAGGGCTAGGTCTGCACTTGCATTCGCATTGCTCTTTTAATGTGCTTTCGATTGAAAGTCTACGTTTCGATTCGACAGTGCATGAACACTTCATCCGATTACTTAATAAACACTGAACAAAACTTACCCCTCTGCGAAGACGAGTCTCTTCTTAAACTTGTATCCTGTCCATAAAACTGCAAACGTAATTGCGAGGAGAAAAGGGTAGTTTGAGCACAAGGGATCCTTCCCGAATACTTGGTGAGCTCAACAGCCTTTCCCCAAGTTGATCACTGACGCATAAGTGAGCTGTAATCACGCGAAATTGCTTCTTGTAGGTCAAACGCTGCGTGCAGCTCACGTGCTCCGTCACAAGCTCCTATAGTAACCTACATTAGGAGATAATTCTCGATCTCCTCCTACTACGCCGCAAACTCCCCCACCCAACTTTATTTTAAGGTTATAAATTATTAATATCCACGTCAATGAAAGGACATGCATGCCCCGTGCCCTGCAAAGGAATATGAGAAAGTGCTAAGGAGGATTTAAAACGACGAAAACTGTTGTCACTTTCCAGTCTAATCCGGACTAAGACAAGTAAGACATAAAAACTTCAGTTGGCACTGAGTGCATCAGAAAATGCGCTTTGTTTCTTTTAAGCTTAGATCTTCTGACTCATTTTATTCGCTGTGAAAGTTATAGAGCCTACTAGGCATTTGCTTCGTGTATTTCAATATCTGTTAAAAATGCGTCCAGTCTCCGAAGCCTGTCCATTTACACAATGTGTACTGGGGCTTTTTATGAACGGGGGTTGCGAATTCGCCGCGGATAAAAACTGACGCAAGCGGCATTCGTGTGAAAGACGTCTTTCTAGTGCGAGACAGAAACTTTGATTTAGGTACTTATATTTGGTCAAACCGCTAAAGGGTTTCAACATCAAGGGTGGATACGGGTGGGGCCAACAGCAATTTTTTTTTGGGGGGGTGTGTATGTATTTCATTTACTTTCATTCCCAAAGCATGAAAAAGCCCAGTCCTCAGTAAGGCCATGAAAGGCTACATGAAAAAAAAATCCAATTTTTTGCCCCCAACAAGGTTTGACTCCCACCCAAGAAAACTTGGTTCTGGATTTGTCCTTGTTCAACGGTGTTATAGAGTGGTGGAGTCGTATTCTTTATTTCCTGGACTCCCAGAACGGAGAAAATATTGTGTTGTGAGACAACCCCCCATCAGCTCCATCCCTTGCAGGGAACGTACTACGAGCGCAGATATGTGGTGTCTATAAAGCGGCAGTTTTAGTGAAGTTTCTGCCTTGTAAATTTCTCTCTCTCTCCAGTAAGAGGGGTACTTGTAGACCTGTTTCGAATTTATTTAATATTATTTTAAGCCTATGGACCTCTCTTTGACAACTTTTTTTCTCTAAATACAAATGTCCCCCATTAGTGTTGAATATGGAGGTATTTTTATTTCGTAGTCTATTTGGTGGAAGTATACATGTTGTTGTGCTCGATATTGATGTTTGCTTGATGCTTCTTTGCACTAGGTGATCCGTTTGTCTTTGGTACTGATTACCAGCCCCATGTTTTCAACAGCTGGACGGCAAAAACTGCAGTTGTGAAATGTCGCTTTTTGACCTCCACGGGAAACGAACACTGTCACGCATGTTTTTTTTTTTACTATGTTGTGATGGTGACACACACATTTTCGTGTTCCTTTGTGACGTTTCAGTGTCACGTACTCAATTCCTCTTGCCCATGTATGCGTACACTGAAGTTGACGCTTGGAAGGATAAACCGTGTCTTTTTGCTAATTGGTGATTTTTTTCACAGTACGGTAGATTTGCATATGAGATTCTCTCATAAACAGCTGAAACGGGATACAGTTTTGTGATTTAGTTGTTTATGTTAGCATTTTTCACCAGGTAACTGCTTTGTTTCTAAAACGAATAAAAAGTTGTTGCATTACTTATTTATACTGGGGACCATTTTCATTTTAAATTCACAGTACGGATTTAGTCTACATTTCTAATTTGAAAATGCTGTGATGAAATAAGTTACATGCATGGTACATTAAACAATAACATATATTGGCCTGCATTAGCTGTCCCCACGACTACATTAGGACATTAAAAGAGATAATTATTTGTATTATGTACGGCACCCAGTACTTTTTATTGTACGATGCTGTATAAGAGACATGGTGAAAAAATTATCTCCACCTTGAGCTAACTTGTACGTGAGACTTATAAGCCGTACGTATGATGTGTGAGTCCACGTACAACATATCACTCGTATGTAAGATGCAAGGTGTACGTACTGTGCGAGTTAAAATTCTTTAGTATGAACGAGATATAATTCGCAGGTAAGTCGTGCGCAGCAGATAAAAGTCAAAGAAATAAGTATCATACTTATGTCTTTGACTTATATCTCCTGCGTACGGACGAAATATCCGGTTCGTAAGTGTGACGTCACTTCAGTTTAAACCACGCCCACTGCGAATGCATTGATCGCCGTTATGTCGAACCATGGAACCGGAAGTTAACGCGCAACTTCTGCGATCGTCCAATGGGAGCCTGGGAATCGTGGCGCGTCCGCCTTTGAGACGAAGTCACTTACGAACCGGATAAAGGCGCCTTTCCATGCGCGTGAACGCTTGCGCCAAGCGTTGCGTGTCCGAACGCAGGGCACACCCGTCAGTTTTTTGTGTCCGTAAAAGTGAAACGCATGAACGCATTGTGTACCCAACACACCCAAAAATGGTACTTATGGAAAGCCGCCTAAAGTTGTGCGTAGCGTAACGGTGCTGAAGAGAATTTTCCACGATATCCGTATAAAGTCTGTTGTATTGGCAGCTAATACATTGTTCTTTTCCATGCGTTCATTTTCTTTGCTATTGATTGCATATATATGAAGTGCATCTTGGCCTTCTGCCACAGCTCGATTTTGTCTAGCACTAAATTTCAGTTCTCGCTCAGTATAGAAAGTAGTGACTAATATAAGATCAGATGATCCTGACTCACTGTGCGTGTGCGGAACACGGCTTCTATCCAATTAGCAAAGACTTCCGGTGACCGATGTCGGGCGGTTCAGGGAGTGCGCAGGGCAAGAGCGGCTTTCAGCAAGGTTGAGGCTTGTCCACTAACGCGCGTGGGCCTTCTGGAAAGGCTCAAGGGGCACGGTCCATAAGGGGGCTGTATTTAAATTCTGTGGTTGTCATTTCCGATCGACACTATTTTGGGATCCCGACCCCCCCTACCCTCAACCCATTTTTTTGCTAGCAATCCTGTCTAGATAGGTCCTACTTTTACTAAAAATAGACATAGGCCTACCTGTATTGAAACTTTAAAAGAAAGAAATGTGTAATCAACTGAACTGATATATTTATGAAAAACAGAAAAGAAAATGGTAGTTTGGGAAGACACAAGGTGAACGTGCAGTAAAACTAAAAGGTTAGTGGGAAGAAGTTAATTACAATGGTCGTTCTGTTTCGTGCGGGTAACGTCACGAGCAACAATTTGAACAAAGTTGAAATTACATCACGGACGTTTTACCTCAAGCCCAAGCAAGCACGTACGCTAACCTCAAGAAAGGCACATAAATAATTTGAAATTACGTGATGGACTTTCGTGTTAGTCATTGATTAACTAATTGAATTATCCCACGGGTTCATTCAAGGTGCATTCAGATATGTTCTTAGATAACAGATCGATTTTTTAGGCCGGTGACTGTTATCAGGTCGATTTTTCTAGGTCAGAATAAGCATCACATTCCGGTTAAAAGTTTTACATGTTGGGTGGAACTATGTACATTACCGACAAACGTTTTTAATTTTGACTTAGAAACTTTCACTGGAGATATCACCTCGACTGGGCGTGCAGTCCGTTTCTGCCTCATACAAGGCATGTGGTGTTCGAATACCCAGACGTGTGGATGAATTACGTGACGGTACAGCTAGCACACAGGTCACGGTAGCACCCACACACTAATCGTTTCCTCCGGGCAGGTTTATAAACCCCAGGTGTCTTCGCTGCTGGCTAGTAGTCCTTTCGGTGTTGAGGAATTACCAGGCGCATAACCTCTCCCCAAAGGTGTTTTTTTCTTGCTTTACCGCCGCTTAAGACAAATTTTTAGTCCGTTTAATTACGAACTTTACAAAATTAATTTGTTTAAAGGCGGAGGTTTAAGTTAATCTATTCCAAGAATTTTTTGTTTACCGTGCATTCAGCGCTTTTTATCATATTCAAATTAAATAATATTAAATTTATTAATATGTTTTTTAATACATTTGTACTCTCAATGTTGCTTTAGGCTAATTAAATGAATTTTTAGCTTTGCACTGCTGCCCGACTGGACACACATCCTCAGTAAATTTCATTATATATTTTGAATTTTTGTCCGAGAGTGTGTTTTTCCCAGGCTAAACTCCACTGTGAAATAGAGCCACTTCTAGATCCATCTTTTGTTTAAATTTCACAGACTATAATCGTAGTCCTGCTGATAGCTTACGCCTTTGCGCGACACTGTTCCAAACATTGTTCCCTTATAAATGCCTTTTGTCCGAGAGTGTGTTTTTCCCAGGCTAAACTCCACTGTGAAATAGAGACACTTCTAGATCCTTCTTTTGTTTAAATTTCACAGACTATAATCGTAGTCTATGATATGGGTGCGCCCTCTAGTATATGGAAGACTACACACTAAGTTAACCACGCTGCAATGCACAACAAAACTATTGCATAAAGAGGTTCTGCATGACGGCCATATTTTCTTGGAAGAGCTTTTGTTCCACAGGGATGCACATGAGTAAACCTTTTGTGCTATCCTTCTGTAACACAAGCAGTTACCGGAAAGATAGCTGCCGTGCAGAATCGCCGAAAACGCAAGTAAAGCTCGACTTCAGAGAGCTTGCCACTTTTAGTTTTAATTATTTTTGCACGAAAAAAAAAGAGATGCAACGTCTATAGATCAGGTCAAAAAGGGTCGGCTAAAGTCGTCATGGTTCAGATGTGGCTTCCGGGAAGAGAAGCAGAGATAACGTTTGAGTGAAGCCGTGTACCTGATAGGATTCCAGGGTGATTAAAAAATCGAAATCAAATATTTACCCTTAACGTCGATTGGGAAATGATCATTGTTTTAATGATATTCACCACAAGGATAACATAACATGTAAAGCACAAGCTAGCCTATTGTCTACACTGAACCTTGTTTTTCTATATTCATAAATTACTTTAGTTGGGGACCTCCCTCCCTTCCACTACTGGAAGCCAATAAGATCAATGATTCAA